TTGATTTTTAATTGACAAATAATAACTGTATATATTTATGGGGTACAATGTGATTTTATGACACATGTATACACTGGGATGATTAAATCAAGCTAATTAACATATCCATCACCTCACATACTTATTTCTTTGTGATGAGAGCATTTTGAAACTTCTCTTTTAGCAATTTTGAAATATACAATACTTACTATTAACTATAGTCACCATGCTGTGCAATAGATCACTAAAACTTATTCCTTCCATCTAACTGAAACTTTGGACCCATTGACCAACATCTTAGGAGACATTATTGAATTCTGACTGACATCACAGAAGACTACATACTCCAACAAAGCACCCCCTGGAGGCCCATCATTTGAGGAGTGGGCACTGGCCCTTTCTTCCTTTTGTAAATTCAGTGAATATATCTTAGAACATTCACTGGCTCTGGTCTGGCCCGTGGCTCACTTGGGGGAGTGTGGTGCTGACAACACCAAGTCAAGGGTTAGGATCCCTTTACTGGTCATTGTTTAAAAAGAAAAAAAGAAAGAACATTCACTAGCTCTAACCAATTTAGTGCCCACCCAGGCTGGGCACTATGCAAAGTGACTGGTGTACAACTGTGAAATAGGCATGTCCCCAGTCCCTGTCCTCACATACCCAGCAGTTCGAGTAGCAGAGTAGGATGGATAGTTGGGACACGTCCAGAGAGGCACTTCTAAGGTTCTGAGGTTCTGATGATGCATTTGACATTAACTTTGGCTCTGTTGTGCTGCCTGCCTCTGTGGGGGAAATATAATTAAAAGCAAAACCTCCTCCAATCCAGAAAACCTCTCCATAAAGGTAGAAGAGAAAGAAAACAGTTTTATTATTGAATAAGTTTTAAACCAGAATGTCATGCACATCACAGGCAGTCCACTAAGAGATTGCAAAGACAGAAAGAAATCTCACCCTTTCATATGGATAAGCAGATGCAACCCATTGCATGCATGTTCTCAAGGTAACTAGTCCACAACTAAGAGGGCTTGACAGCACCATTTGTCACACATAGTTCATCCTAAATTCTCTTGGTAATAAGAGTGACCATCTGCTAATTGGCTTTATCCAAAGGAAAAATAAACTTCTCACATCTTTATGATAGGAGGTAGTTTTGCAAGTTGGAGCAAGGTGCCCACTGATCTTAGGTTCCTACCTTCCCATAGAGACTAGGAGATAAAGGCACTGTCTTCCTTGATATCCATTTGAAAGAGATCTGGCTCCCAGGCCCTTGAGAAAGACATTCCTGGCTCAGAAATGGCAAGAAACTTATTTAGTATTTAAAAGCTTTAAAAAGATTTACATACATTTCAGAGAGAAAGAATTTACAAGTTTTCTTAAGTAAATGCTCTAAGATAAGGGGTGGAGAGGAATCCCTTCCCTTATTTTTATTTACTTATTTATTTTTGGAACGTGGGATTGAATCTTGGACCTTGGTGTTATCAGCACCATGCTCTAATCAACTGAGCTAACCAGCCAGCCTCTTCCCATATTTTTAACAAAGAGAATTAAGCTTCTCATTTTTTTTTTTTT